GGGATGGACAGCGAAGTCGAGGAGAGCGTCGTTGCTATGGACGCCGTGGTCGCTTCTTCGAAGGAGGGAGGAGTGCAGGGCAGGTGGTCCGGCCGACCTGCAGGAGGCGACAGAGAACGGAAGCTCGGCAGAGTTCGGCGCGCAGCTTTCAGACTTCGAATGACGTGCCGCTACCTAGCCACGCCGCCCAACAACGACGCCAAAGAGCATGCTGGGAAAAACTAAATGTTCCTGCACCCTGTGGTTTTCAGAATCAAACACGGACATTTGTGGACATTTCTCCGCGACATTTTGCTTTTCTATTATTATTGCCAGCCAGTTCCTAGCCAGGACCAGAGGCCTGGCCTGCGCGGTTACCCTCGTCGTCCAGAGTGGGGAAGCTCCTGGCGCCTCGCAGGTCGTAGATGTTCTCATCCCTCTCGGAGGGCAGCTGGCTGGCAGAGAAGGCGGCTCCCGGGCCAGTGTACTTGGGCACAGTGAGGGGCCCGCGGATCTTCTTGGAGGGTGAAGACTTCAAGGCTACAGTCAGAGAGGACAGATCGACAGAGGAAAGGCAGTAGGGTTCAGTCTCTGGAGCCAAACTGAAAAACACACCTCCGGCCCAATTTTAGGATGCCTCAACCAGATTTCCAGATGGTTTTACTTTACAAAACCAAAGTTGTGCTCGGAATACAGGGCACATCCACCCGCCCACCTCGTGCAGAGAGACACTCACAGGAGTTCTTTCTGAAGACAGTGGTGCTCATGAATTTGAAGAATCTGTCAGCATAGAAGCTGGGCCTGTGGACTGATACCGTGTCCTGAAACAAAACACAACAGCAGGGACGCAGTGTGAAGATCGCAAAAAGAAAAAAAACCCAGGATTAAATCTGATATATTTGCCCTGACTACTTTTAAAAATGGGTGTTTGTTGCCTTTTTTCCCCTCATGAAGGGAGACTGGGGAAATTACAGAAGCCCTGAATTCAAAGTGTAACCAGACTTGGGGTCAGACCGATGACGCCCTGGCACACAGCCTGTGTTAAATAATTCAGTTTAGCTGGATCGACTCCTCTCCCAGGTTGTAACGATCTGACCTCGTTTCTAGTGTGGCAGCTATCTGCGGCTTACATACTGCCCAGCAGGAAAGCTGTGAAAGGAGGGTAGCATTCATCACAAAATATAGGACTACTGAAGTACAGAAAACGTTTTACTCACTCCATCGTGAACTAGAGCTTTCCAGGTGTGCTCCAATTTTTTGATTAGCCTGTGAGGGGGGGGGGGGAGAAAAGATACCCCTTTAGAAAATCAGACAGACTATATGGGCTATATACAGACTTTATTAATTATTAACTTGCATGAGTGAGTTACAGAGCCAGCTCTATAATGTCTACAAACACAGAGAAAAAATGAAAAGCTGTACAGTCATATCACATAACCGGGTATGACCACTCAATGCCATTTTTACAACAGTGCTCAAGAGGCAGTAAAACTGGACTGAGAGCAGTAAAGCGCATGAAGTTACTGCCATCCTACCTGTATGACTGCAGGATGTCTATGATTCCAATGTAGAGTAAAAGACGTTCCCCTTTCCCATTTACGGCTGGGATACCTCCCATCCTGCCAGGAGAGGGAAAAACAATCGCCACCACGTTAACGGAGTCGCACACAACCTGACCCTCTCTGCCACTGTGAACTGCAGCCGGTCCTCGTCTCTGACCAAGGATCTATTTGGGTTTGTTCTACACACCAGACCTGGCGTTGACAGCTCTGTCTGTGCTCGGCACTTGTGCCAGGAGCATTATGGGTACGAGGGTGGAGCAGACAGCGGGCAGCTCGCTTGTGCGTCGGACAGGGGCGCGGCGGCGTGCTCGGGGCGGGGCTCTTACATGTCGTCCGTGTCGATGGACTCCCCGCAGGCGGCGCCGCCCTGGATGGACTCCATGGCGGTGGAATATAGCGCCTTCTGAGCCACCGGCCTCTTCTCGTCGCTGGAGCCCCCGGGTCCCTCTGTCTGGCGTTCCCGCTCCGCCTGGTCCAGGTTGTGCACCCCCAGCAGCAGGCTGTAGTCCATGATCTTGAAACTCTCCAGCACCTGCGCCAAGCAGGAAACACGGCAACGGCCCGAGAGAACATCAGCCGCCACCTGCACCACACCTAACTTCAGGCAGCGTCGAAAACAACAGTCACACCCCAGGGGCCAATCAGCTTCCCTCATCTTAAAACACATGTGCGTGGCTATTGTGCGCAGTTACCTAAAGCCTAGACCAGAGTAATTTTGCTTGTCACCCTCAAAAAGCACTTGGGAAACTTCGAAGTTATTGCCCTTGGCAGCTCTGAATATTCTTCAGACAGATCACAGAATGAGGTCAGCACACAGCTGTCCACGCTACTAAGGGAAGAGGGGTTTACTGTATAATGGAGTTGATCATTCCCAGCTCGCAGCTGAACTGCTTTGGAGGCAGAAGCAAAAAATGCGAGCAAGAGAGGAAGTTCCCTTTGGGCACTTCTAGTTTGTAGTTCGCTGCCTTTAAACACACATTGTGTCCAGGTCTGAGCGGGGAGCTGTGCCAGATTGTGATGGCTGCAAAGGAACAGGTAAAGGTTAATTTCACGCTGAAAGGAAGTAAGGAAAACTGAAGTTGGGCGAACAGCAGTTCCTTATTTCCACTTTTAAGTGTGAAACTAACCCTTACTTGCCAGATCGCGCCCCGTCAATCAAGATCGAGGTCACGGCACAAGGAAGCATTTTGATCGCTCAGCCTGAACCCCCCCGTGCTCACCAGGCAGTCCCTCTGCAGGGTCTTCACCAGGGCGTTGTAGGTGTCAATGTCCAGCATCAGCCCGTCCTGAAGGTCCTGCATGAAGTCCAGGTCCTTGAAGGTGGGGCTGGACTTCTCCCGCTCCTTCTTGGAGGCCCGCCGCTTGTAGGTGGAGCCCTTGAGGTCGTACTTGAGGTGCATCCTCACCACGCGGGGGAGCACGTTGTTCATCACCACCATGCGGATGTTCTTCCCCCCCGACTGGACGCAGTACAGCCCGTAGAACTTGGGCAGCAGGGTGCGCGGGTTCTGGTTCAGGTTCTGTTCGTTAGCAGATGCCGGGAACGAGAGAACGCAAGAGGAGGCCAGCACGGGTTAGCGGGATCGTTATAGTCCGATACCGTCAAGGCACCAGTTGCAGTAGTTATGCAGTTGCACGACTGCAGTTATGCACGCTATCCTTTACAGCTAGGGGGGCCAACATGAGGGGTCATCTGAGTTATCTGCAAAAGGCACAGCAATGCAAAGCTACTGACCACACTTGCAATACATCCAATAAATCCATGAAGTGAACTGGAAGTGATCTATTCTGTTTGCTATAAAACCCTGTCAAAGTAAAGTATTTGATTGACTACTTGCAACAACGGCAATGGCGCTCTGCGGTACAGATCGCTCTGCTGCAGGTGCATTCAGAAAGAAAACCGCCTGGGAGAACAGAGACAGCAGTTACATAAGTATATCTGATAGCATCTATGTAGGAAGTTCTTTCTTCTCCTTACTGAAAATCCATTTCCCGTCATTGACAGCTGACTTAATGTGAAAACACACTTTCAGAAGTATGGATTTAATCACCTCTGAGTGGCCTGCAGATACGAGGCAATGCACGTATGTGTGCAGGAAGATAAAATGATACTTGGCTGTTATATTAAAAGGCGCACCAAAAATAAAATTTCAGCAGATCACGCATTCACGAAAAATCAGTAACATTTGTGCTCTGTGAACGAAGATGCGATGGCTGGCTGAGTGGTGCAAGGGTTCATGGCAATTTAGCACAAACAGGATGCAAGAGACACAGCCTCTGACTGCACAGTGCATTCAAGCAGCACGCTGGAGGTGAGTTAAAGAAGGTTCAAGACAAAAGGGTTGCATGCTGATAGTTTAGCATTCCTAAAACAGAAAGAGAGCTAGCACAGCCATGTCCACTGCAATCTGGACACCGAGTTCAACCCGTAGGGAGGTCAAAGGTCAAAGGCCTTTGCATAATAACTACCCAGACTCCCTCACGGGGTCACCTCAGGACTGAAGTTTCTGAAACCCTCCCACCAGCTAACATGGCACCCTTCGGCAATAACACAAACCGAAATGTTATTTTCCAAAAAATTTAACATTTTCAGGAATCCCACTGTACCCTTGAGCAAGGGCACCAGATACGGGTAACAGATTTTTGTGTGTTAAAAATGGGAAAGTAACTCCACTGCAGCACAACGTCAATCTTAATCATTTACTCTTTCCTATCTCCTCTTCGCCACTTCCAATGTTGTTCATGTTCGCTCTGCAGAATGGTTTCCAGTGGTGGTCCCCTGCCCTCGAACCCTGGACTGCCTGTGCAGCTGCCCCCTACTGGCAAGCCGTCGAATCGGTGAGACCTGCTGCCGCTCTCCTTGTGAGAGCAGAGCTGGAGAGGCCCGATCGCTATCGCAGCCTGCCTGCAGGACTTGCTCCGCTCAACAGCCGGCGCCTGATGAGAACGACCTCGGCTCACCAGCCCGCTGTGGAAGGCTTTCGAAAAGCCACCGTTCCTGTTGCACGTGCTTCCTGTTTTTCATGCATGCTCCAAGCGGGTTGATGGCGGTCTCAGAGCCAGCTTTCCGAGATTACGGCCCCCAGGGCATAGCTGGGACTGAAATAGCAAGCTGGATTTGCATGGTAATACTGCTGTTCGCTCTTCCTTCCTCTTTTGCTTCTGGGCTGACATTAAGCGTACAGTGAAATGAAACCATGCTTCGGCAGTTCTCAGATCTCTCCTGCGCTCCTGTGACCATTTTCTCTTGAGCCGGGCTGTAGGCTAACCCGTCGAAAAGCTGCACATTTGTGCAGCCTGTAGCTCCGTGGTGGAGAAGAAAAGGAGAGCAGAAGGACGCTTTAGTTAACCAGGACCACAGGGGCAAAACTACCAAACAGCAATTACAGGCCCGTGCCTCATAAGGTCTTGTGCACCAACACAGTGGAGCAACCTGTGTTTGTGCCACATTTGATTCCAGGTAACCTTGATTCGGCTGAAAAGTCTGCAAAAGCTGTCGCAGGACTGAAAGCAGAGATCGGATCCTGAGTCACTGGCTAGGGCAGGACCTTGGCAAACACTGGGAATCGGAACAGGGTGTAAGCGCAGGAAGGCAAACATGCATTTAAATCGGTGGATTTGTTAACCTGTTAATTGGTGTCCCTTACTTTTGCCCTGCATGTCTGAGTCTGTGTCAGCAAGGATCAGTTCCAATGGTGCTATTGGTTCTATTAGTGTGAACTCAGTGTTCTCCAGCCCTGGGTCTGAAGAATCACTTAAGCCTTCTGGTTCAGGCTTAAACCTAGCTCTCAGCTACTTAACTGAACCAGTTACTTGCTTATTTAATCCACACTGACCCCAGTCTATGGCTACTGATTGAGGGCGCATTCAAAAACCTGAAAGGCTCTCCAGGACCAGGGCTGGAGCAGATGTGGGCTCACCATGTAGTATCCTGGCAGCAGCTTCTGCAAGAACTCAGCCTCCTTGTGCATGACAGTCTTGATGATGAACTCATCGTCCCGGGTGACGTAAAAGAGGGACCCACTGGCGCCAGGGTTGGACAGCTCGATCAGGGGCTCGTTACACAGGGAGTACTGCAGGAGCAAAGAGAGACAGCCACCGTGTAACTGTGTGTCCTTCAAACCTCCCCCCACAACAACTCCTAACACACACTTTTTACCATCTCCTGCATTTTCATGCTTTATGAGAGACAAAGGGCTTACTGTTTTTTTTAAATACTTTTATGGGGTCCTTTTTTCAAACCAGGAAAAATAAATGGGATACAGAAACACTGTGACAAAGGTCAGAAATGTCATCACTACTTTCATGTGACACCCAGGGCACAGATTAGTGCTAAAAGGGACTATAAGTTAAAGCTTTTGGTAGATAAAACCACACGCTGAATTTGGACTTAATAATAACCCAGTGCAGGCTATGACAGAGCTGAAATAACAACAGATGCATGTTTTTTTTAAACTGTTTCGAATCTTATTATTTCTGTGAATTTGCCCAGAATAAGACACCAAGGATGAAACATCCAGCATTTGCAGACGGCATATTAAAAAAAGTGACAATAGCTTTTATATTCTGAAACGCACTGCACTGCCACACAGCATGGAGTCTTCTTTGTATTCCGGCTGTCTTGTATCTTGAAGCCAAACTGCCGTGCAAAACCACGAAGGCAACACAAGACTCAGCACAGGCGCGAGCCTTCGGAACAGCGCACTGCAGCTCGCGACAAGCCAGAAACGGACCAGCAGGAGTCTCTGCTGCTGCACCCCTTCAGCACCTCGCAAAAGTGTGACTCCTCTGCAGCAGGGCAGAATAGCAACACAATAACCGCCCTCCTGTTAAAAGCAGCTACTGTATCTGCACAACCATCTGCTCTGTGGTTATGCTGTTGAGGACAGAGGAGCCTTGTCACGCTAAGCTGAAGGCGCGCCTGTTGTAGCTCTGGGCGGCTCCTGAGAAGCACAAAATCCAGGGTCCAGCAAGCGTGATTCCACGTGGAAAGCAAGGATCCTTGCTGCTTTTGCTTGCTATAGAATCTTCTGGTTTAAAGAACTGTTTAGTACACTGTATCCCATTACTGTCACGTCAATGTCAATGCTAAATGTTCTCTTCAGCTTGCAATGGTATATACACCACCAGTGGCTCAAAACTGAAAAGTTACTAACAACACACTAAAATCCATTAACATCCTTCAGTGCAGTACCAGATATTTGGAGCTGACACGAGAAGTGGCGAGTCCCTCCCTTCCAGAACTGCAAGGTCCCAGGAGGCCACAGGGGGCGCTGTTACGCCAGGAGCCCCCAGATTTCTTCACTGCTTCTGCTCTACAGCGTTGTGATCGAAGCAGCTCCAACACACTTGCGCTCAGATTCTTGAAAGAGCCTAGGTTTTAACAATGCCATTACATGACAGACAAAGTATCTGCCATGATACACGCACCAGCCCCGACCCAGAGATAATACAACTGCAACCACGAGCAGGCACAAGCATTCCCGATCACGCTGCTCGGCATCAGCAGGAGCTGATGCAGACAGTCAGGCAGAAACGCCGACGTTCACACTGTTGGCGCTGCTGAAAAACTGCAAACCCCCTTTGTAGGGGAACACTTGCTTGTTTTAACGAGGCAATAATAAATAATAATAAACTATTTTATACAGCGCCTTTGACGGTGGCTTCTCAAAGCGCTTATGGCTGTTAGATAACGGTTCTCTGCCTTGTATCCTCTGATATGCATCTGTGTTACAGCAATGTGAAGCCCTTTTCCGAAGGGGACACACGTGCCCATCGTCAGTGCCCACGATTTTCTCTTCCTTTCCTTCTCTTCGTGCTCGGGCCAGCTGGTGTCACGACTGGAGTTTCCTGGTCGCAGAGGACACCACACAGCCTGTGGCAGCCCCACGAGAGACCGGGCCAGCAGTCGCTCTCGGCTCCGAGCTCAATTAGGAGAGCATTAGACGGTAATCTTCTTCTGGAGGAGGAGGCAGGAAGCCTGAGGCTTAACAGGAGGGCTACTGTATCAGCCTGATTGTGACAGGCGGCAGAGGGCTGCCACTGTACCAGCACTACAGATGAGCGATGTAAAAATAGACACGGCTCACACACTGCTCTGCGCCTTCGCACCAACGTACGTGCGGCTCAGCCCTCGTTCTCCTGAAATGAGAACGGGTGCTTTTTTTTCTGCAGTCAAGCAGGGGTTTTATTTTTGACAGCTGTTGGTTTCACTTTAAAAAAAAAAAAACCGAAGCGATATCAGCAGAACCCGGCTCAAATGAAAGGCTTGAAAAGCACGCTGCGAGAGCGCTCGTCTAGGCGAGGCGGGGGCCAGGCTCAGAGAGCGGGCTCGGCCGCAGCAGCAGTTAAACAGCCCGGAGTCCGCAGTGCAGACGGGAGGCCATTCTTGGTTCGTTTTTTTTTGCAGACTTTCTCCTGTGATTCCCGGCAGGTCTGGAACGCACCGGGGCTGCTCTTCCTGGATCACACGTGGGCGGCGGGGTTTATTTTTGACCAGATTGAGCAGATCTCCAGCCCAAGGACCTGCTCAGTCAGGCCTGATGTGGGACACCAGTAGACTGTATTAGACACAGGTGTCAGGATAGCACGCAAGCAGAAGTGTACTGCAGCAGCTAATGAGAAACCACACACTCATCAGTATTTGAGGCACTGCCCATCAAGACTGCTGACCTCACTCACGCACACACAGGTGCAGTGATGACCTCTGACCTTGTTCCCCACATGACCTAACCTTCCCACCCACTGGTCTGTCCTACTCTGAAGTGAGTTTCAGTCGGGCCGGTTTAGAGCTGGTGTCCCTGTGATCTGCAGCCCCAACTGTAGAAAGACTAAGCATGGGATCTGGAACCATCTGAACCTCAGAAGCTGAAGTCTGACCAGTATAACACTGACTTTTTTTTTGTTGGCAAAGGGAAAAGTGCTTAACAAAACCATCTCCCCTCCCGGCTGCCATGTCATTTTTATGGTTGCATGAAGTTCTCAGTTCTCTTTTTTTAATTTTATAATTGCCAGTTATTTATTATTACATACCACCCAATCTGGAATAGCCAAGTGGGTCTCGGCTCACAGCTAAAAACCCTGCAAACGCACACGGGAGAATGAGGAAGCGCAGGCAGACTCCTACTACTTGGCCACCTGTAGATGTTTGTCCTTCCCAGGCAGCACCAGAGGGGGCGCTGTTTTCCCGAGAGCCCTGACTGACAAATCCCACCCCACCCTAGCCACGTAGTGCTCCGCCACCCGGGGGATCCCAGTCCCAGTCAGCTAGTGACACGACCCAGGTTCGAATCCATGATGTCTTGATCGGGGAGCCCTGTGCTCGGGCAAGTGGGGTCACCTGGGAGCCACCCCCTCCCCTTCCTTCCCGTTTTGATTTTAAGAGGAAAACGTGCAAAAGGATCCTTCCATGGGGACCCCCGAATCCCTCCCTGCTCGGCCGCCAGGGCGCACCCCGGGCCGGCCTAGCCTTACCAGGTAGTCGTCGGGCCGGATGCCGAAGAGCTCGCGGAAGTAGCGGAAGGCGACGGGAGCGTAGGTCTTGAAGCGGAAGTCGGGGAAGTGATGGGCCGGAGTGAGGTTGCTGCCTTCGCTGTGGCGGGGAAAGCGGAGGGGAACAGGAAGGAAGGCTATATTATTCCTGGCTGCGTCTGACACAACGACAGAGAGAGCACAGCCATTTTCACACGAGACACCCGAGAAAACCCCTGCAGATGAACCGTATTTAAAGACCGAATTGCCTTCAGGTACGTACAGTATACACAGGCAGGTCGATGAAGTGGTTCGGGGCTCCAGAGGAGCTGTTTTCCCTCACCTCTATTCTTAACAGCCTACAGTAAGTGAGCTTTATTAGTCCATTAGCTTAATTGGACCCATTATTTTTTTTTTTCTTTTCCATTGAATTTGGAATTACCGATTGCGTCATTATATATCAAAGCGATGACCCCCTACAATCTATATAGGGAGAAGGAGGAAGCACAGACGGGCTCCTCCATTCTGCCCTTTGTCTTGTGACACTCTGTGAGTTCCACTGGAACAGGCAGGAGGTTCGGCGCTGATTGGATGTCACTCACTGATGACACCATGAGCCCCAGACAGCGAATCCTAACTCTACACCACCTGGATGAGGTATAGGGTGAAGAAGGGGAAGGGGACCCAAAGGGGAAGAATCGCAGTCACAGTCGTCTAGTAACTCAACTCACAGGCCTCGTCAAATACACAACCTGCGCTCAGAACGCGAAGCCCTTTAACAGCCCAACCGCATCTGAACACTTTTCAAGGCACTGTTGATCGGAAGAGACCCCGATACAATGACCGGATTGCATCCCCGAAGGACCAGAGTCTCGCACCCGCGCTCTAGGAGAAGCAGCCCCCACGGCCCCAGCCGTCCTCACCTGGGGAAGAAGATGCTTTCGACCACGTAGAAGTCCTGCATGAGCACGTCCCTCTCGGGCTTGGAGCTCAGATTGCCGACCGTGTAGCCAATCCCCAGCTGGATGGCGCCCTTCAGCGCCGAGGACGTGGTCTGCGGGGAGAGATGGACGAGAAAGAGAGAAGGGGGGATGGGACGGAGGTGGAGAGAGGTGACGCGGCAGGGAGGAGACACGACCAGGACAGGGACCGGACTCTCCACACACGACACAACACAGTACTACTGTAGGCCACCATGCGCCCACGCTCACTTCCACACCGTGCTGGCCAAACGTGCTACATTAACTGCCTCTAATTTAGCAAGGGACTAAATTACGGGGTCCGGACAGCCAACGTGACTTGTCGTTCCGGCAATCGGAGATGCGGAGATCCTGGAATATCCTGCAGGACTGTGGTTCTCCAGAAGCAGGATCGACCCACTCCCGGATTCGGTCTCCGTGACCGGGAGCTGGGGTGCATGGAGGCTCTGGATGCGTGTACCTTCTTGTAGGTGGTTTCTCCGGAGGCGTCCACTCCCCTGTGGCCGATCTTCTTCCCTGGGCCTGAGCCCGGCTGTCCGGAGGAGGAGGGCATCTGGGGAAAGGAGGATTAACCGGATGGAAGAAGACCGACAACGTAACCATCTCCCATGGGTGTTTCGGGAATGCCACGGATCTCGTGACCATGCAATTCTTGCCTCTCTGTCCCCTCTCTGCGGTGGCAAAAACATTTCAACAACTCCGGAGGGGGGGGAGAAAAAAAATTAATATTGATCGGATTGGTCAGTCCTGCTGTGAAGAGGGAATGGAAGAGGAAGGAGGATTCCACAGGGAAGGAGGGAACTCGGAGACCCACATGCAGGAACAGCCTGAGACTTGGGGAGTCGGCAGGATTAAGGGGGGAGGGAGGCGACACCAGCTCTTACCTCGGTGATGAACGCTTTCTTTAAGTCGGCTTCTGAAAGAGACGGGAAAAAGGAGGAGGTGTCACATGGAGTCCCCACTGTACAACCTCGGCTCTCAAAAGAAGAGCTTCACATAAGCCCCATTAACAGCATTAGTGTTATTGTTTAAAAGAATTAAACGTTACAACAAATAGGCTTTTGTTGCAACAGTAGACCATTTGAAGAAAATGCTAGTAGGACTAGACTAGTAATTATAGTCCAGGATTGCGTCCTTGAAATTATCCTGCTCATGCATTTATTGAAAGCAATTTAAATAAGACATACAGTAACAGGAGACACAGTGATGTAGGAACTTCTGAACTTTTAAGTGACACATTAAACTTAGGTCCTGACTTCTTGCTCATTAACAATCCTATGGCGCTGTTCCCAGGAACAGGAGTGAGAACTTCAGAGTCCTGCTTAAACTCCACTCAGTTCTCATTTTTCTACCT